GGGGGGGGGGGACCTGTCTTTGGCTGGATTACATGGTCTTGTGAGGTCCCTTGCAGCCCTACTGTCCTATGTTCCCATGAAAGCACATTTCAGCATATTCTGGAAAGCAGTCCTGATACCAGGGATTATGGACACCAAAAAAAATGTCTGTGAAGTCTCGTTGCTATATGTACTTCTACTGGTAGTTAAATGTATATCTAACATTATGCAATATGTGCAACATGGTGAGATCATGAGAATCATAAAGGAAATTTTAGCTCTGTTTAAGTCAATGGTAAAACACTGAAATGTCCAGTCAAATGTCCTGACTCTAGGTATAACATGCCTCTTCATTTCCAAGGAATAAAGGCAGAAGTAGTTATGGAAATGGAGGAGTAACACAGTTACAGGCTCCTCTTTCTTGCTTATTTCTGTGTACATGACTGTGCTACAAATGTGTTGCATTGTGTTTGTGGGTCAGAAAGAAGTGTGTTGAGTCTGAGAAGAGGTCTGGCTAGAAAAAACAGCAATTCTTCTGGCAATACTGCATGAAATATCCAAGCAGCATTAACTCCTATGTGGTGCTTGCACCTTTGATCCCCAAAGCAAGCCTTTGTGAATGGAGAAAGATCAGTTGGTTCATGGCTTTAGCAAGGGTCATGTTGCTAGGTGAAATAAAGAAGCAGGGAAATGCCATAAAGGTGAACAGGCCCCTGTCATCTAAAAATTTTAAAAGCTTTTTATTTGCTTTCTGAGGCTCAATCTCCCTCTTCTAGAGGGGACCCTGAATTGAAAGTCTTACTTAGACTTTTCTCTTACCCCTTGGCCTTCTGCCAGCTTTTCTGTAAGAGCAGAAGAGGCATTTAATACACTTTGCGATTAACTTAGTGTTGATGAAACATGTGAAATCACCCTTGGATGCCCCAGATATTTGAAATATTCCTATTAGTCTGCTGAAAAAGACTTAGGATAGATAGTAACAGTACGTTACTTTTTATTACCTCATCAGCCTGAGATGGACAGCCCCTAGGGACGAGGGAAGAGTTTGATCTCCATGGCCTGGTCTCTTTGGAGTGTGTGTGGAGACTTTCTAGAAAGGGTACAGATTTTTGCTTATTAGTATTTGCAATATGCTCACTAAGATACTGGATCAAAATTGTAATATTTTTATTATAAATAATTCCAATTTTTTTACAATAAATCACCAAAACAGATCACCTTCATGCAAGACTTCAACCAAAGCATGTAATATATCATTAGAAAGACTTGTGGAGGAGGGCCAACTTTTGCCAGTTTTTCTTAAAAAGCTGCTAAGGGAAAATTCTGTGAATTTATTGAGGGTTGCTGCTTATTTCCATGCCAGGAAAAAATTATCAGAAAATTGTTACATCTATAAAGTACTTAGAGGAGTGATATACAGGTAATATAATATAACACCTGTAAGGGTAAATCTAAAATGGTAGAATTGTTTGAAAGTGTTAATAAAATAGTGGATAAAAGGGAAATAACTAAATAAACCTGTTTAAGCTTCCCTAAAGATTTTGATAGAGTGGGAAGTAAAGTTTTGACATATATTTTTAGGAGAGGAAGCAATATGAAGAGCAAGCTGGGATCGGACAAAGTTCAATATTGGGACCTATTTTCATTTTATTTACTACCCACCTAGCAGAAGGGTGAATAGTGATATGCTGAAGCTTGCTGGTGACCCAGTTCTTTGGGTTAATGAAGACCAGGAAGTACTACCAGGAATTTCTTTTTATAAGACTAGAACATTGGACAGTGTAATGTGGGATGAAATTCAGAGAAAGTAAAGTGCTCACAATGAAGGGTTCTGAATTGGCCAGAACCTCTCAGAAAATAAACATAGATATCATTATGGACAGATCAGTGAAAACTAAAATCTTCAATAGACATACCAGTCAAACAGTGAGTAGGATGCTCAGATAACAGGGTTATTTTAACTCCGGTGTCCTGGCCAAATTTCAATGGGAACAACTTCTTTCTGTCTATCTGAGTCCTCTGTGGAGTTGCAATAGGGTAAAGATCCCAAATTGTGTGTAGTGTTAATAGTTGATACATCAGGTTGATGAAATAATCTTGGAAGAGCTGACTGTTGAGTTAAGTTCATAAAGTTCTTTTGAATCGTTTTATATAACTAAAAGGGACCTAATTTTGTTTTCACATATGCTAGGTGAAAGTCTGTTAAAGTCAATGAGCAAGATCGTCTGGTCTAGTTGATTTGCAATTGGCGCAGGACTGGAGGGTGGGTTAGACCATTTCTGATGTTCCCTGTTTCAGGGCCACTCCGAATTGGACTCATTCCCCCCATCCCGAAGTGGTCTCATTGGATGTTGATCATGTAACATTTCCTTTTCTTGTGCCCCTTTGCTGAGATATGGCCATAGCATCATATCAGTGCACATTCTCTGTCATCTGGGAATTTGTCCTTCACTTGGGGAAGTGTTCAGGAAACCAGTTAAGCCACCTTTGTGCCCCTTTGCCAAGCAAGGGTGCCACGGTATAGCCAAAGTTGAGTGTAAGTATGATTAGAATCAGACTCAGAATATTATTTCTTTTAGGATACGCTATTGCACACTTACGTAAAGGCCTACTAAGTTTTTTATTTTGCTTTTCTCTGAAGCATCACGTACCAGCCACTGCCAAGACAGGATACTGAACTAGATGGCCCATTACTCTTTTTCCAGTATGACAGGTTTTATATGCCTAACTCATTTCACCTAGTTATCCAATAGAAAAGCCTTTCAGAAATTTTGGGTCCAGGTTGAATCTGAACCAGAGATTTACAGATGAAAGACTCCACAGACCATTTCCAGTCCCCAGAACTGAGCAGTCTTTATGTCTATTTAAACTGAAGAGTCAGTTCAAATGAGGTTTATAAAATAAATTAGAAGTGGAGAAGAGAGACTTTATTTCATGATCAGAATGCAGGATTGTTCTTTCAGTGAGTTGTGTAATAGCAATAGTATCTCCAGCCCTTCTCTTCAACAGAGTCTATTTAAAATCTTTAAAATGTCACTATTTCCATATTTTTCATATCTGGCTTACATCTTTATACACTTAATTTCATCCCAATATACCTAGTTACAACCATTTAAAATCCATGTATAGATGAGACTTGAGGACTTGTGGAATGGAACTTAATTGCTCCTCATCTATGACGTTGATTGTGGTGACTGTATTCTTTGTGACAGGTAGGGCAGAAAGCTAAATCTTTGTCCTGGCACGTAAAGTATATTAGAAAATATACTTTTTGTACTTCTGTTCCTGGGGATATGAGAGGTGCCCAGGAAAAGGCATGAGGTAATGATGCCCAGAGGAAAATAATCTTTTTAGTACTATACATTGACTTGCATCCATTATGTTTTCAGCTCTTGGTGATCTCAGGTTTGACCCTGTAGACTCTGTGTGTGCTGCAGCCTTAGAAACCATAACAAGCATTGAGGCAGCCTGTTCACCTGAAGCAGAGCCTCCCTACACATTGAGAAGAATCTGCTTTCAGCCTGTCCAGAGAAAGGAGAAGATTTTTAAATGCAAAGAAATTCAGAATGCTCCAAAGCAAGTGAGGGGGAAAATTGCCCCCGAAGAAACTGTAAAAACAGGCCAAGAAGAAAGGAGGAAAAACTGAACCTCTGAGGTTTAGTTGGTATCTGAAAACCAGAGGCGTTACAAATTATGGTTTGTCTGCTAATGATCAAAATAGAATCCTTGATTTTAGGGATATGACATCATGTGGACAGGATGGATACAAGTACATAGGCTGCTTGTGTGCTGAAGAAGAAAATGCTTCTTTCAGCCTTAAGCCTGCTTGTACAAACAACTAACAGCACAGAAACAAATTTTTGAAGGTGAACTGTTACGCATAAAGAAAAAATACTGTTTGTGCTTTTTACAGTTCCTTTAGGATGTATCAAAACTGCCTTGAACATCATGCCTGTGGCAGTTGGAAGAACTGAAATGGAAAGTCTTCTGTTGCCTGTCCTATAACTGATAGTTGGAAGTGATGAACTGTGGACTGGAAATGCCATTTGTATCTTGCATATTCAGTCTTTAAGAGTATCCAAGATCCCACTCTCCATATGCACGTTTTTGTCTAATTGACTCTATTCATGCACACAATAGACCCCACAGAACTATTTCGCCAAAACAAATGAGGACATTTCTTAATTGCCACAAAGAAGGCAGACAGCTTGCCTGCAAAATATTAGTTCTTCATGCATACCCAGTGATTTAAATTGATAATTTATGATGCCAAAGTGAACACAGATATGGAACAATTGAATCCCAATTATGAATTTTCTTGCTTTCAAAAGTTTGTCCTTAGGTAGATATGAGGTTATTTTCTATTACTGGATATTTCCCTATGAGCATAATTCTCAACTTCTTCTCCTAGATATAAAATGGATGACACTAAAATCTTAGCATCTGTCAGTCCACGGGTCTTTTGTTTTGCATTGTTTTCATATACATGTATGCATGCCCATACACAGGGCATACAGAATCATGAGTGAGTACACTTCCTGGATGAACCCTGTCTTCCTTTGCTCAAGCTCAGGTAGTGTTCAGTGCCAGCAGAGTCTGCCTATTGTAGGGAGTGAGGATCATAAGTCACCATGTTATATCTAAATGCTATTCTACATAGGGGTTCACGTCATACCTTCGGTGTTCTACTCTGGGAATTCTGCTCTGTATTCTTCCTTCTACCCAGGAAATGTAGGAAATGTTCAATTATTTTGAAAATGTGCATATGCTATGATGTGTTCTGCTCCTGTTCTGAGTTTTGGTCTTATATGAGGTTCAGACTTTGGAGTGAATTACAAGACTTGCTCAGTAGTAAACGTGCCAGAATGTAGGAAAAACTGCATTATATTTTGTTGGTTGCTAATCTGTGACTGAAATGGACATTGGTGCCACTTATCACATACACTGTCCAAATTGATAGCAGCAACTATTCACATTAATCAAAGCTACTTTCCTTGCTTCACAGTTGCTGCAGCCACACATGAAAATCAGACACTGATCATGTCAATGATTCTGCAAGCCTTCCAGCAGCTTTTAAATGAGTGCTAAAGCAGAATTACCCAGAGCAGCTGAAAAAGAAAGAGGTCAGGAGATCGTTTCCTCTGCTTTGCAGAGGGGCATTCCAATCTGATTGACAAAGCAGAAGGAGACAGATTGACAAATAAAAGAGGGAGATGCAGAAACAGATGCAAAGGACAAGGAAAGTGTCAACCCGAGACTGTTTTTTCAGAGAACAACACAGTATAATGAGAGAGAGGACTAGAGTGAGACAGAGCACAAACAGAACAAAAAGAACTGAAAAAGCAGGCTGGGATCTTTCTCTACACCTTAGAGGTACCAAAGATAATAGTGAGCATGAATATAGCTTGTCACTGTACCCAAGCATTGTCTCCCATCACCTTTACTCTCATTGCTTTCATTTTGATGATTCCTACAAGTTGTACCTTCCTTCTTTCAGAACTACCCCTACCTCCACCCTGATTATGTTTGCCTTTCCCCATAGGTAGCAGGGGGAGAATGAATTTTCCTGCATCTGGCTTGCATTGTTTGCTACAGTTCCTTAAAGGCAGCTTGTTTATTTTTATCTGATGCTCTCATACCATTTTTCTAGAATGATTATCCCCCTATGAATGAGTTTAAATGTCCAAAATTATCAATGAAACTGTTCAGGAAAAAGTTGTTTCTCTGTTGCCATTATTTTTAATGACTCCAATCTTCATTCCCATCCCAGGGCCCTGTCCTGGTACTACTTCAAGTCAATAAAGTTAGATGGTGGAATGACAGTAAGAGTAACAGGATATCCTAAATCAGACTAACTTTCCTGTTGTTGACAGCTGTGGTACATTCCTGAAAACCCAAGGGTACTCACTCATAACATTCTGCATCTTGCATTACTCCTGCAGTAAGTTATAGATGACTGTATACACAGTGACATTATGGTTGTCAATGAGAATACAACCCAGGCCTTTCAGTACTAACCTACTTGCCTCACTGGAACCTGTCGGACTTGGCAGGTGTGCAGTTAAAGGCACAATGGGATATGATGTGCAGTCCCTACAGTTGTATTTCCTGCCATGTCATATGTGAATGGCAGGAGGTGTGATTATGGTATTGAGCATCAGATCCCATCATGCCATATTGCTGGTCCAAGGGGAGCTTGGGATCCTGATCCATGATGTACCCCCATGGCTGGGAGCCCAGATCAGCTGATGGGGCTCCCAGGCATATGAACATATGGTGCTCCCCCATGACTGGCAGCCTGGATCAGCTGCTGTAGCCAGGGGGGTGTACTGGAGCCAAAGGCTCTGATACCACTCTGCAGCTGGGATCTGCAGCTGATCATGGCTCCCAGCCTCAGGGGTTCATCAGAGCCCTTGACTCCAATGGATCCCAGAGGCTGGGAGCAGCAATCAGCTGACTGCACTCTGTCTTAGGAGCATATGGGAGTCATGGGGTCCCATGTGCTTCGGAGGCTGGGAGCCCCAATCAGCCTGGTGTGATAAGTTAAGTTAACGGTGTAATAGGACCCAGCCATAAAGTTGTGGCTGGAGTGACTGGACCTTGGTGTCAAAATTCATTAGACACCTCACTGTGGCTGAAAAGATCTCTAAGCTTCCAGACGTCAGCTCCTGTTCACGAACAGAAGCAATACAGATCAACAATTAATTCTTTCCAGGCTTTGTTGCCATCCAAATCCATGTGAGAGGTGTCTAAAGTCTACTTAAATCCCCAGTTCCACAGAGCATGCCTAGCAACTGTTTGACACTGAGGGTATTCATGCTGCTTGCTAGAAAATACAGATGGAGGAAGTGATTGTTCACCCAGGAAGTGAGAAACCTGACTTCTAAGTTCTCCTCAGTCTGAGGATACTCCCGTTTCCCAGAAGAATGCCCTAATTACCAGGATGTGGGCTAGCCTGGGTAGACTTGTACCACTGCTCTTCAAACTGGGTCACTCGTGCAAGAGTCATGGGGCCAGAGAGACAAGCAATGCTGATGCTGTGGCCCAGTGAGGTAGCTGCTCCCTTGGAAGTGGAGAGTCCTAGGTTCTGATTCCTATTCCCAGGGTTATTTCTGCTTTTAAGATTTAATGTAAAAAGCACAAGCACTCCTGAGAGGAGAGACTGAACCCAGGCCTCTTTTCTGCAAGGGGTGTGCCCTCCTCAATGGGCTACAGAATCACTCTCCTCCTTGCTGGCCCCTTGAACCATTTAGTCACTTATTCTGAGCCACCACTGCCTGATGTCTGAGAAGAAGCCATACTGCTGAAGGGGAAATGCAGCTACTCCCCTCAAATCTACCCTGGCTCTGCCCAACCATATTCAGTTAACACCAACACCGTATTATTTCAGTGGGATGCTAGCTGACTATAGGCAAGGCAGCTCTTATCAAATAGCAAAACATCTGTTGTTACTTTAAGAACTATTAAGCACTTCCCAGAACAGTTATGCATACTTGGTCTAGCCTAATATTAGTGGTTTTGATAAACAGATTTTTATTCTGCATTCCCAAGCTACTGCTTATGGGTTAGCACAAACTTATTGATTATATCAAGCTTAAGGACATATTCTTTATAACTTAGGCTTTTTCTAAGTCTGCAGCTCTCAGTGTGGTCTGTCAGTCGTGACCATGCCCACAGCCTAGAGGGCCTATAAGGTTGATCTGGATTTGGCCTTCAGTTCCTGACTGCTCAGCTGAGCACGTATCATAGAATCATAGAAGTAGGGTGGGGAGGGACCTTGTAGATCTTCAAGTCCAACCCCCTGCCTGGGCAGGAAAAAAAAATCGGGTCTGCTCTGTGTCATTAATTAATCCTAACGTTGTCCCTCACTGGCTTTTATTTGCCTTCAAAATGTAGGAACTTTTTCTACTGATTTTCTCCAGATGGCACATTCAGCTCTTTATCCAACTTCCTTTCAATATCTGCATTGATTCAGCTGTATGAGGTACATCTCTTGTAAAAGAACACAAACACCTGAGAAACAATCCCTAAGGGGAAGTAGGAGAGAAGCAGGTTTGGAGAACAGGAAGAATGGAAAACAGGGATAAGTAATTTTCTCTTCTCTTCATATGCCTCCTCTGTCCCCAGCGGTCTAATGGAGTCCTTAAACTGAGGAATATGTAGTGAGCAATGCAACAAAGGAGGAAGAATTCTCACCAAATTCACTTATTTGCCTCTAGTAGGATTCAGAAGAGCAACCAATTAAAGAAAACAGACCTGAATCTGACTCCCTCCATTGGGATCTGATCCTGCAAGGTAATAAGAGCTCTCGGCTCTCAGTACAGGCAGTGGGCTTTGTGTGTTCTCAGCAGCTTCCAGGAGGAAGTGCTTATTCTACAGGACTAGACCTGCAAGTAGGCAGACCTGGGCAACCTTTGGCTTCTTGGTGTCATAAGACTGTGCAGGAAGCTTGGCTGACCTGATTCATTTTACTGGGGAAAAACAGTCAAGAGTAGAGCTGGGCTAAGTCTTTGCAACATCTTTTTGTCAAAAATGCCTTTTTCTTTTCCAAAAACAAAACATTTGGAGAAAACTATTTAAAAAAACTGTGGTTTTGCGACTGTTTTCAAACCTTTCACCAAAATTGAAAATACAGTACTGTTGCCATATGAATTTTCAATAACAAAAACCGGTTGGTAGCAACTTTGACAATGATTTCTATAGAGTTTTTTTCTTTAATATTAAAAGTATTTCCCCAAAAATTGAAAAAAAGAAGAACTGAATCTGTTATGAATAAAGTGGAAGTAACGTTTACATTTTTTCACAAATGAACTTTACATATTTTGGCCAGCTCTGGTTGAGCAACAGCATCACAATGTCAGTTTTAAAGGTGTGACATGTAAGAGTGTCAATAAAAGTGACTGCACTGAACTTTCCTGGTCCCAGCACCCAGGCCTGTTCCAGGGTCTCAAAAGCTTGCATCTGGTCCCATAACAGGGATCAGTACTTCCTGACACCATTAGGCTACAAATGCAGAAAGCAAAAAAGATCTAGTCACGTATAATAAACTCCAACTAAGCTAGAGGGCAGACTACTTCAGGAAGGATTAGGAACTAGAGAACAAAATACAGGGGATCTGGTAAGGTAAAGAGAGGCCTTCTTTATAATGCCATCCAATAATGCTGATACCACAGAGTCCTCCACCGTCTCCATCCAAAAAAGATATAGGACTAACCCAACTCCTATGAGAAGGAATGTGGAGGAACAGCTGATGCTGAATGTGATATGTTATAAAGCATGTTAAGAACTAAAAGGCAAATGGTGCCCAGAGGCAAAACTGAAAATAATAGATGGTCTTTGAAGCACAGGAGAGGGCTGTGAATTCTCAGTCCCCATGGGAAAAAAAAACTCCAAGTACCTGGGTATTTCCAAGGGGAACTACATAGCTGTGGTGTAACTAATCATTTTTGCATGTGCTAGAGAACACTACCCACAGTACAAGATAGAAAGAAGCTGAAAACTTGAACACAAGGCATAAGCTGCTGTCCCCAAGGAAGTATAAACCGAGAATACAGATGATAAATATTTGGCCTAATAATTCTGGTTTGGAGAGTTGCACAAGTGACTAGGTAAGAGAAAAGGGCCATGATTGGACCTGATACAGACAAGAACCTTAAGATGCTCAAAGAGAAAAAATATGTGGGAAAGGAGGGGCAAGGATCCCAGGATATCCATGCAGTTGAATCTGATGGTAGGATAAAGGTCTGCTTTCCAAAGTCACAGATAAAACACATGTAAAGATAGTTCGGACACAAGAGAAGACTTTCACGAATAACCAGGAAATTCCCTAGACAGGCTGACAAGAAGCCCCTGGCTCAAAATATTTTGTGGGTAGGAAAATAAATATGTTCAGAACCTTCCTAATGGGAAGTGAAAGATATGAAAATAGGGCTCTGGCCCAGAAAAACAGAAGCAGAATGTCTCCCAACTTTGTTTAGGAGTTACCAGTAAGAGGCAGCGTAGGATTCAAAAGAAGGCTTTTGTCAGAAGTAGAAAATTCTCCATCTTCTTCACAGAAGGTGAAAGTACACTGAGGTTTCAGGAAGCAAAACCGCTATGA